GCTACTACAGCTACTACAGCTACTACAGCTACTACAGCTACCACATCAGCCTCCCCCTGCACCTGCACATCCTACTCGCAGATCCCCTCCGCCGTCGCCTCCTGCACAAACATCATTCTCTCCAACATCGCCGTCCCCAACGGCTCCGCCCTCGACCTCTCCGCCCTTCTCCCCGGCACAACCGTCACCTTCGACGGCACCACCACCTTCGGCTTCACCAACTCCTCCTCCTTCAACCCCGTCACAATCTCCGGCTCCAACATCACCATCACCGCCACCCCCGGCGCCATCATCGACGGCAACGGCCCCGCCTACTGGGACGGCCTGGGCTCCAACGGCGGCGTCCCAAAACCCGACCACTTCATCGTCGTCAAGAAAGTCACCAGCCACTCAACCATCCGCGGCCTAACCATCCGCAACTGGCCCACCCACCTCTTCTCCATCTCCTCCTGCTCGGACCTGCTCTTCGAAGATCTGGTATTGAACAACACCGCCGGCGACGCGCCAAACGCACGCAGCGGCACACTCCCCGCAGCACACAACACAGACGGATTCGACGTCAGCTCATCGAGCAATATCGTAATCCGCCGAAGCACCGTCTACAACCAGGACGACTGCGTCGCCATCACCAGCGGGAACAACATGACCATATCGGAGATGGCGTGCCACGGCGGCCACGGGCTGAGTATCGGGTCTGTGGGGGGGAAGAGCAATAACAACGTGACGAATATCTTGGTATACCCACCCCGCTCCCCCTTCTCACTTACGTGCCGTAAATCTTGAGCTAGCAAATGTTAACGCAGGATAGTTCACCAACTCGGCAATCTACGATTCGCAAAACGGCTGCCGCATCAAGTCCAACTACAACACCACCGGATACATCGCCAACGTCACCTATGCGAATATCCGCATCCAGAACGCCTCTATCTACGGCATCGACGTCCAGCAGGATTATCTCAACGGCGGTCCGACGGGGAACCCGTCCAACGGGGTGCGGATTGAGAATGTGAGCTTCCGGGATGTCTCCGGTACGGCTGCCTCGTCTGCTCGTGACTATTATATTCTCTGTGGAGACGGGTCGTGTGCGAATTTTACCTTTGAGAACGTGGATATCACTGGCGGCGGTGTGAACAGCAGCTGCAATTATCCCGCCAGTGGATGTCCATAGCTGTATATACTTTCAGTCGACTGTTTATCTTTCTCATGTTCGCTTCAAGACTGCGCAATCAGTAGCGTATAACAAAACAAGTCCATTCTCCTGGTCATGCTGACATGTTCCCCATAATCTGAAGGGAAGGAGGCTGTTACTCCTCCAGATCAAGCACGCTTAATCGATCCTGATATCCTACAATATTTACTCAAGAAAGATTTCATATGAAAGAATCCATATTCAAAATATCAGCTACGTTTCACAAAGGAAAGACATTGACAACCCCTCGTCCTGCGCCAGCGGAACTCCAAGGCGCCACCCTGAGCATGGTATACCATCGTCGATATGGATACAAGATCCCTCCAATACCTGGAAGTACCTGGATTCTCGGAGCAAGTCAACCAGCTTTTCTCATTTTGCAAGTTTTTTTTTCCCCTTTTTTGATTTTATAAAAATTTCGGCACCAGCCAAGCTGCATCAGCCAAGCTCCAATTCTGTCGTAGTCGTATCGTCATGATTCGTTACATCAATATCCTATCAGTTGCATTGTCCTGGAGAGGCACTGAGGCAGTCAGAAAATATCCTCGGGCCATCGAAAGTCCTCTTCCCTAGGTTGCGTCTGGCCCGAGTTCTGCATCTGTGCGCTCTTTAACTTCCAGAGCTCCTTGGCTAGCCGTCTATCTACCTTTGCAGCGGTGGCAGCTAGGTTCTTCGGGAGTGGAGGCACAGGCGGGACACGCTCGTGCACGTAGCCCCGGCTGGGGGTGGACGTCGGAGTGGGAGCGCCGGTCGTGTCGTCCAGTTCCCTCAGCTCTATGATCGGATAGTCCAGGTAAGGCTCCTGTTGAGGTTCGTTCTCGCCGTTCGGTTGCTTCTCGAGCTCCTTCAGATGGTTCTCATTGGCACTGGAGCCGGCAGAGCGAAGATCGGAGCGTCCTTGCTTCGTTCGGAGCCATGGCGTCGTTCGACTCTGCGAGGTTGATCTTCGTCTATGGGCGGAGGGCGAGCGTGTATTTGAGCGTCGCCGCGGTTGGCGTTGGTTTCTCCCTCGATATTCGTGCTCTTCTAGCTGGGGTTGATCCTGCGTCCGCTTTCGCTCGACAGATCCAGGACTGTCACTCTTTCCCATTTTGGTCGCCTTTCGGGGTGTGTTGGTTTCATGCAAACGGGCGGGTTCTTCATACTGAGACTCCTTGTTAGGAGAATCTTTGGTCATTTGATGAGCCTTGTCACGGACTGACTTTGGATCCGGCGACTTTCTCTTGAGAGATGGGCTCTCCACAGTCGCAAATCCGTTTCCTTGACTCTCTGCCACTCGTCGGACATTCCCAGACGTCACAGACAAAGGCGCTTGCTCGACTGCTGGTGATTCAGGCCCTGTCGTGGCATCATTCTCGTAGAATCGCTCCGACGGTAGCGTTGGGAGGGCTCCGGGCACGAACGGTCGATGATAGGGTCTCTCCTGGCAGAGTGTCCTTACCGGCTCTTCCTCCTCCTCCTCGCCCGTCAATTCGCGCAGCTCGCGCCTCGCACGTTCAAGCTTCCCTTCGAGGTCGCTGACCCGCTTCAACAACTTGGTCTGCTTCTGTAGCTCCTTGCGAGATCGCGATTTACGCACTTCGGGACGCTCCGAGTCCTCAGATCCTCGCTTGATATAAGGAATGCCTAGCGACGACTTGGCCTTGCGTAGTTCCTGCAACGAACTCCGAATTGAGCTTCCAGACCCGTATCCTTCAGCGGAATTGTGTCTCGAGTGACGACCCAATGTCTTGCTGCCGTCCCACTGCGCCTGACTCGCTCTGCGAGAATGTTGCTCCGCAACAGGGGCACTCGTCTGCACGCCCTGCATATAGCTTCCCTTGACAGTCCCCTTGTAGCCTGCCTTCTTAAGCTCCGCATACGCCTTCTCCGCCTGCGCCCTGACATCGCCTTCCGGCCTGTGCTCGGGCTGTGAGCCGCGCCAGATATCAGAGACATTCCCCCACACCCCAAACGGATTGAACGCCGATGCAATCGCCCTCCCAAACCGAAAGATACCAGATGACCTCTGCCCTGCACCGCTATCGTTCTGCGCGGATGCGCCCTCGTCCCCGCGTATAAAGATACTTGGCGGCTTTTCGCTGACGCTGTCGTTCATGTGCGCCTCGATGAAGCGAGACGGCCGGCCCCGGCTCGATTTATCCCCGCCGCCTCCCTGACGTTTATTTCGACGCGGTGAGCCGTAACTCGAGTTCTTGAACGGCCAGCGATGATTGCCATTGTCCTTTGGTTGGGGATTCTCTTCGCTGGGGTGGAGCGGCCAATCGTTGGAACGGCGCCGCTTGGACGAGTGCGCGGACGGCGAATTGGTAGGCTGCTCATCCAGATCGGACTCCTCTGCGTCGTCGAAGCGGCCGGATTCGTCCGACAGCCAGTCCGAGTCCACGGCAGAGCTGCGCGAGTGCTTGCGAGAATGGGATGCGTAGCCGTTGGAACCTCGGTAAGTCGAGCGGACGGCTTGTTGCAACTGGCGGTCCGCTTGGTGGGGGTCGCTCTCCAGGTTCACCTGGACGTAGGACATCTAGCAACAAAATCGATGAGTAAAGTGGCTGTGGTTAATGAATCGCATGGCGGGATCATGACGCGCAAGGGCGCGGGGGACAACCATGTGTAGCACGGGACAGGGCTTATAAGACAAACCTCCGCATCGATCTCCCTCGCCGTCATGCCGACTGACCGCCCTCAATACTCGTGGTCAATTATATGTTAGAGACTGCGATCATATAGAGTGATCATAATGATGCATTTAGAGCAGGAGAGTGTCGAAGGCAAAAACCAGAGATTCCCGGTGGCTAGAAGGCGGGGGTGTTGTTGTTAGTTATGTGTTGTGTTGTTATTGTTGATGGTCTTGTTTACATCCGGGGTTTGATCAACTATGCGCCAAGCGCGCGCGAAGGGTTTCGATTAAATAGCGTCTTCAGAGACACAGACCATCATTATTCTGGTGTCCCCAGAGCTCTGAGATAAATGGACACAGTAAGGCGATGACTCGAATGCCTCGCGTCCGGAGGGAATTCTCCTTTGACGAGACTGTTGGAAATGAATGTCTCGTTCTGACATGTGCCCTTTACCTGTGTCCAGTCACCCAGTTATGCAGGAGAACAGGCCAATGGGTCGATAGATTTCAGTTGACGTTCTCTTTTGCACAGACAGGCAGATAGAATTGAATCTCCAGTCTCTGATTGCAAAATGTGCAATCTGGATAGCGAAATGGTAGCCTGTAGCTCGGGAAGGCTCGAACACTAGCTCGTCATACTGAAAGCTTAAGGGGATAATTTAACTACGTCGGGGGACAGATGGCCCGGCGCGCGTCAAGCTTATATGTCAACTGGAACAGGAATCTCGTGTCTGAGCTTATAATTGATCGTATTGGACAAACGTCTATGACTTTCTGAAAAGGACACGGCGCTCTGACGTGGCCTGCAGATTTTGAAGCAAATACAGGAAATAAAGGAATGAAGTAGCCAAAATAGACTCCCACCAAAATATCCGCCAGTTGCTAAAACGAACCAAGAAACAAGCAGTACGGGAGCAGGGTTCATGTTCGATAGAACTATCGAGCTTTGGAGTCACGCGCTCGGATAAGCTGCCAAGTAAGAATGTACAAAAGAAACTGTGATGGCGGCAACCAGTATGGTCGGATTTATGAAGATCAGAGAAAAGAAAAATCCCGGCGTCCAAGCCGAATACACAAGAGTACAATGGAGAGAAGTTGCATCTTCCGGAACGAACATAATCTTCAAGTGACCAACACGTTGGCTCAAAAGTCGTCACATAAACTGGAGAACTTCCTCGACGCGTTAAGGTAGCGCAGGCGAAATCTTCATGACCATCCTTCCATTCGCTCGTTTGTATGCCATCTCATCACGCGAATCAGTGTAGAATGGGAGCCGGCCATAATCAGGCTGCTTCCGAGCCATGCCAGGGAATTGATCCATATCAGGCCGCATCCCGTTGTGCAGAGGACGCTCATCATTGCCGAAGGTTTCCTCATGCGACCGCTTGGATAGTGAATGGTTCGTTTCCCACAACAGACGCTTCCCAGAACCGAGCTCGTGATGCGGGCTCTGCCCGTTGCCATTCATGAGCTGAGGCGGGTGGGAATATTCACCCGAGAGAACTTTCAAAGGCGGGAGCGAAGTCACATGGTTTGCAGGAGTCGGAGCACGAGGTACCGGAGGTTGCGTCAGGGTGGTGTATGTATTCGCGTCGGAGGAGCGAGAATCAGTACATGTCTGCATGTTCGGTGCCTTTGGCGGCTCCAGCCTGAGAGGAGGTAGGGCTGCTTTGGAATAGCTTGGGCGTTCAGCCGGCAGGCGTGGCTGGGGGTAAGGGTAGCCAGAGGTAGTGGCATCGTACTCGGTGCCATTGGAAGGATTTCTTGAGTGAGAATAGGAAGGGTGTGGGGAATATGTGTTCGCGGGAGTGGCCGACTGAGGTGTTGGCGGCAGTTGGGGAGCCGGATACTGGCTTTGCGTCGCTCCGAACGAAAGGTGAGACTGATATGATGATGTCTGTGCCGAAGTCGCGGGGTTGTGAACGGCAGGTGGAACGGGAGCTGCGGGGGCTGCTGGAATGGATCGTTGGTATGGCTGCGCGCCTTGGAATCCGTAATCGCTCGCAGACGGCCGTCTCTGCGCGTCAGAGCCGTAGGGGAAGGCGGCATCAGCGGTGGTGCTGATGCTGCTGGAACGGGCACGCTCAGCCGAATTCGCCGCGTACACGTCAGGGGTGGTGTATCTGTCCGACCGAGCAGCAAAGACCCTCTCATCATCAAACTCGTAATCGTCGGTGCGCTTCTCGCCGCGGCGTCTCATGCGCACGTCTCGTCGAATACGAACTCGGCAGCCTTGCTCTGCAATGATGCGGCTGAGAGATGTGCTTGTGGCCAGTCCAGGGAACTTCTTCGCACTGTAGACGGTGAACGGGACCGACTTGACTTCGAGGCGGAAGTTCAGATGCGACTTGGGCGCTGATGG